AGGCTGTTATCCAACGCGACCGCTTCTCTTGTGATCTTTTTGGTCGTTTTTAAACGTTCCCCAAGCGCATCTCTTCGTCGCAACCATATTAAATCACTATAATCATTAAAATTTATACTATGGACCGCCGTCGTTTATATTTGTAGTATAACAACACCGAAATATACAATAATTACAATATAAATTTGCAATTCAAATCACGAACGATAGTGAGCGCCATATTAACTCCTATTACACAACAGAGCGAATGTCCTCAGTCCGCAATGTTTACATTTTGTACCACGTGACACCCTTGGAATTTACACGTGCGTTTTACCACTGAAGTGGTGGTTGGGAAATTTTCAAAGACCATTTTGATATAATATTTTCTCAACTCTTCTATTAATCTAGCCTATACGTCATAGATCCTACTGAAACGGGAAAATACCGAGAACCATATTTAAGTTGCTTAGTTTCCAAACCACAAATATGTAATGTGATACAATTAAGATTAACGATTACTAATATTAACTATTACCAATGACGGGGTCACGTGTATATAAACTGATGTATTGATATTAAAGTCTCTTTCAAACCTTACTACATGGTAGCAGCGGTGGGATACTCGAGTGACCAAAAGAAATTAAATAAACTTATTATAACCAAGACGCCTGCTCAGGCGTTTACACTGACCTGAAAATGACGACATACGTGCTATGATGCAGTATACAAGAATCAAGTCGTAAACCACAAGCAAATTGTATGGTTTTTTAAAAAAATAAAAGACCTTTTCGGGAGACCTATGGTGCAAATCTACAACTAGGAGTTACTATCGCAAGGAAAGTGCTGCCTTTTTGCCACATGATCTGAATGCAAAAGTTTGTATTTCTAAACAATTCTCTAAAGAGAAGTTTACTTTTGACCCAATGGCATCATTTCCACGTTTCATCATTGGTAGAATGGCAGGCCTGCACATGAAGGTTATATCCTCTATGTTTCCTGCTTGTTTCTCGTTCATCATTTAATAAGCAAGTGGATATTATGGTCTACTAATCTATTAGCTGGCAACACACACTACTTTCAGTAATAACTCTGACTAACGCCAGACAAATTTACACCGTGTACCGCCAGACGATTTTACTTGTCAGTGGTAGACTACTGTCAGTAAATAGGTTAACAAACACATCTGTCAATGTCTTTTATGAAACCATTAGCTGGCAATGCACCCTACTTTAGTATTTACTGTCTATCTACTTTAGTATTTACTGTATAGACAATTGCACTGCCAGCAAAATACTGCCTGTATTAAAATGGGCTAATTTCGCGTCACGCCCCAATTGTTTCTAATTATAAATATCTCAGCGAGCATCCCCCTGTAATATGATATCAGTAATATGACTAATATAGGTGGTTTGCACGTTACGTCATTGTCGCCATGGCCCATGTTGTAATTTGTTACAGTTTAGTTGGCATTGAAATAACTTATTCTGTATTGCCTTAATCTCAATACCATTCCACATACCTTATTCATAAATCACAATCAGATCCCGTATCCTAGGAAACGGTGAGTATTATAAAAGCAGCAAACTTCAAAATCATTCACTGCCGTTTCATAGGATATGATGCTCTGTTGATGAATTATGAATAAGGTTGATTGTACTACTACAAAAAGGTACAAATATGCAATATGCAAATATGGATACTATTAATAATTTATTCATACCTTTTGTTATGTAAAGCTCGAGGCAAAGGACGGCATTAAATTTCCAGACGAAATCGAACAGTTTGGGATGCGAAGAATTGCGAACAGAACACGAGTACATAACGTGTTTCCTCTTATAAAAAAACAATTCCCTGCTTTTTCACTTATTATTCAATTTATTATTCTAAATTAATTTTTTACGGGAAATTTACGGGACGAAATTTTTATTAAATATTTGGGAAATTGCACATTTTAATGTGGAAACACGGGTGTTGCAGTGGTGTTGAACCACTCGGCTAATGCGAAAGTCTTCAGCTCGACTAATCGATTCCGTAAGCTTGTGATCGTTCCCGCTAATGTTAAAGTTGTCTGCTCGTTTCGGTAAAGTCTTGTTCGATTTTGGCTTGTCTGTTTTACTCCAGTGAACGTTTCTCGATTTGGAATGGTGATGCTTACTTTGTACTGATTGCATTTTGAAACAGTTTGTTCGACTAGAGTAAACGCTGCTCGATTTAAGACTTTACGTTCGATTCACAATCTTGACTATTTTGACATTATAAACGCGCCATAACAGAACTCTACAAGAAAGAGGAAGCTAAACAAGTCAACGCGCTTATATATACTATGGGCGACGAGGCACATGACATTATAACATCGTTTGGTCACACACGAAGCAACACCTTTTGCAATCACTGCACGGGTCCACGACAAGTTCCGATACCACTTCGAGAAGGAACCGAACGGGAATTACAAAGAATGGAACGCAACGGAGTAATATCTCGAGTTGAAGATCCAACCGAATGGTGCGCCCCGATGGTTGTAACGCAATAAAGCAATGTAAAAGTTCGAGTATGCGTAGATCTCACAATGCTTAATCAGTTCGTGCAACGTGAAAACCATCCCCTACCAACAACCGACACGACATTTGCAAACTTTGCTGGAGCTCGATATTTTACAAAGTTAGACGCCAACTCTGGATTTTGGCAAATCAAGCTCTCGGAAAGATCAAAACCTCTAACAACTTTCATAACACCCTGGGGACGGTACTGTTTCAACGTTCTTCCTTTCGGAATAAGTTCAGGGTCTGAAAAGTTTCAGAAATATATGTGCCAAATTCTCGAAGGTTTAGATGGCGTCGAATGCAACATCGATGATGTTCTAGTTCACGGTGCAACACAAGAAGAACACGACGGAAGATTGGAAGCGGTTCTCCAACGACTCGTTAACGCCAACGTCACGCTAAATGCCGAAAAGTGTGTTTTTAACGTCTCGAGTGTGAAATTCCTAGGTCAAATCGTGGGAGCCGATGGCATCAAACCCGATCCAGAGAAAATACAAGCGATTCTCGAAATGCCACACCCAACCAACCTACATGAAGTCCGTTCCTTTCTTGGAATGGTAAACCAATTTAGCAAATTTACAACCAATCTTGCTGACCTGACAAAGCCGATCCGAGAACTGCTAGTTAAGAACACTGCGTGGACATGGGGACCACCCCAACAAGACGCTTTTGACAAAATCAAGAAAGCCCTGACATCAGCACCGATACTAACCTTGTACGACCCCAACAAAGCAACCAAAATAGCAGCCGACGCATCATCATACGGCCTTGGAGCGGTGGTGCTGCAAGAAGAAGAACCAGACACCTGGAAACCTGTATCATTCATTTCAAGATCGATGACAACAACCGAGGCTAGGTATGCCCAGATAGAGAAAGAAGCTCTAGCGGTAACTTGGGCATGTGAAGGTCAAGCAATTACATAATTGGAAAACCAATAACAATTGAAACTGACCACAAACCACTGGTACCTTTATTAACCAACCATACCATCGACAAGTTACCTCCAAGACTACAACGCTACAAGATGAGACTAATGAGATTCCACATCAAAGATGTTCGACACGTACTGGAAAACTACACTACACAGCCGACACTCTGTCCAGGAAGATACCTGAAAGCACAGTCCAACCAACCGTAGAAGAAAACGAAATGAACGCTTACGTTTTAAGCGTAATTAATGCCTTGCCCGCATCTAATCCGAGATTGAAGGAAATCCAACAAGCCCAAGATGAAGACGAGGTATGCAAAGAAGTGAAGAAATACTGTATGGATCAATGGCCAGAAAAAGATCATGTCACTCCTGCCGTAAAACCTTACTGGTCAGTACAAGGAGAGCTCACCATCGCCGACGAGTTATTGCTCAAAGGAACAAGACTGGTCATTCCATCCCGCTTGCAACGCCAAACCCTCAACCAAATACACGAAGGTCACCAAGGTATCAGCAAATGCAGAGAACGAGCCAAAATATCCGTTTGGTGGCCAGGACTCAGTGCCCAAATTAAAGTCATGCTCGAAAACTGTACAACATGCAGCAAATACAGACAGCAGCATCCAGAACCATTGATGCCAACGCCACTCCCTCAAAGACCATGGCAATTGATTGCAACAGACCTTTTCATTCTAGAAAAGGTTACTTACCTACTGGTGGTAGATTATTATTCTCGCTACGTCGAAGTTGTGGCATTACCTAAAAGTACAAGTTCATCGAAGATCACTCAAGCCCTGAAAACCATTTTCGCCAGGCACGGGATTCCTGACGAGGTACGTTCCGACAATGGGCCTCAATATCATAGTGACGAATTCGCCCAGTTTGCAAAGGAGTGGGGATTCAAACACAGTACCAGCAGCCCTCGTTATCCTCAAGCGAACGGCGAAGTGGAACGAACAGTAAAGACAGTGAAAAACATCCTGAAGAAGGAACAAGATCCAACAAAAGCACTACTGGCATATAGATCAACACCATTAGCAAGCGGATACTCTCCAGCAGAACTACTTATGGGAAGAAAGATAAAGTCAACAATACCAATAACACTACCACATTTAACACCACAACTGCCAAACCAGAAACTCTTCATAGAAAAAGAAGAAGTATATAGATCGAAGCAGAAAAAGAACTTTGACAATCGCCACAAAGCTCAACCATTAAAACCTCTACCACCAGGAGCAACAGCTTACATCACAGACATGGATTGTACCGGAACAGTAATTAGACCATCCAAGAAACCAAGATCATATCTGGTTGATACTCCTACAACGGTAGTAGACGAAACCGAGTACAGCTGCAAAACATTCCCAAGGACATTGATAAGAAACAAGACGAACAGGAAACAACACCATCATTAAATATAAATAGCAGACCTAGCAGAATTAAAACATTGTCTTTGAAAGGAAAAGAAAATCTTCGGCCTACATCCAGGGTTTTCATATAGACAATGATGATGCTGTCGGTCGTAATCTAAACATGTGTGGAAATTACCCTTAATGACAGAACCTTCTTCCGCACGTGTCCGTTAATCTACGTAATATAGGTTCATAATTCTCTTCTCCACAGGATGCTGCCAGGTATTCCGGTGCTCCGTTACTAGTAATTATAACTAATTTAGAGTCAAATGTCAGTGATCCATATTTAACTTCAACCACTGCATTTCCAGTAGAGAAAACGTTTTTAAGTTGTTGTACGGATTCAGAGTCTCTCGAAGCATCAAGTGTCACTGGATCATCGATCCATACTATAGGCTGATTATCATAACCGTCCCAGTATTTCTTAAGTCCTCCTCCCTTGAAATAAAAATCTGCCACACCCGTATCGGTAAACGCCTTTAATACCTTGAAGACAGCAGTTGTCTTTCCAATTCCAGCAGGCCCAAATATTTGTAGTACATGTGTAATAAAATCCCTTGGCTTTCGACATATCATCAATCTGGCTATTGTTGCATAATACTTTGGATATAATGGTAATATATCTTTAAACATTCTATGTCCCTTTATAATCATATCATAAATTCTCTCTTCCACTTCATTGTTTCCCGACCAGCCGGGTCGGGTCGGTCGAGGTGCTGGGCTCGTCAGCATCGGAATCTCTTCGTCTCCGCTTAGATCCGACAATTGCCGTTTCATATTTCTGATAGGTGGGTATTGCTTTATCCTTGAGGGAGCGGTAGGGGAGGTGATCATCGGTAATTGATCCCCGCTGGCATCTGACACCTAAGAAGGTGAAATCCACTTTTAGTAAAATGTGCATAGTAAACTGTCCACTTACAGTTGCGGCTCCAAATATTGTTTCTATTTCAAATATGAAGCACTGCCAGGGGGTATTGTCATAGAACGGTGCTGGATTGTCGGTTCCGGGATTAAGGGTAGGTATCATTCCGTTGGCCATAACGTCACCGTGCGTAGCAGCATCCTGGGCGGTATTAATTTCGTACATAGGCTGGGCCATGGTATTGGATAACATTCCATTAGCACTAATATCTCCGGTATTAGCTTGCGTTGAATACAGGAGGGAAGGAACATTAAACTGTCTCCAGGTAGATCCAGGAAGGCACTTGGCATTGGTATTAATAGCCGTCAATCCGACCCCCGTACCACCAATATAGAAGGGACGATTCCAGGGGGCTAGCCACATGTTTACATGTGCTCTTGCAGCATCATCATTGTCTATATGAAAACCCTGGATGTAGGCCGTAACGGAGTTGACTCTGTAACTCTGGAAAAACAAGGCAGGACTGTTTCCCGTGGCGCCAAGAATATCGGATAAATCCGTGCTGATAGGTCCATTACTATTAATAGTTTGCGGAATAGTAATATGTTTTGCTATCATAATGTGACCCGTCCAGGTCGGTACCTCGTTGCTGTTAGAATCCCATCCTCCCCTGGTATTAATAAAGTGATTACTAGTACCGGAACTCACCCCGTGATTTTCGTCAGTCATCTTTAATAAGCTTGATTAAAACTTTTAATTTAGCTAATTGCTCCAAATCTTCTTCTAGCTTTCTTATAGAACGGAGAGCGAAAAAAGTAGCTCCTATCACCAAGACAGTCAGTAGCATAATGATAAAAAGTAGGCAAGGCCAGAAACTATATAGTTGACCGACCCGACCCGGTCGGTCGTAATCTAAACATGTGTGGAAATTCTTACTTGTTAGCGTGGTCGGTCGGTCACCCTAGGTCGACAACCGACCCGACCGTACGGCCGGTCGGGTCGACCAGGGGTGACCGACCGACCACGCTAACAAGTAAGAAGGTTCTGTCATTAAGGGTAATTTCCACACATGTTTAGATTACGACCGACCGGGTCGGGTCGGTCAATCATCTATTAGTCCAAGATCATCAAATACAGTTTTCTTTACAGTTGTAATATTATCTAGTATATAATACTTGTTTATATCAAGTTCTAAGCTACGTTTAATAATATTAATAAAGTCTTTCTTAAATTTAATACTTCTACAGTAGTCTGCATCAGCTATTAGGTAGCTTCCGCACGTGTCCGTTAATCTACGTAATATAGGTTCATAATTCTCTTCTCCACAGGATGCTGCCAGGTATTCCGGTGCTCCGTTACTAGTAATTATAACTAATTTAGAGTCAAATGTCAGTGATCCATATTTAACTTCAACCACTGCATTTCCGGTAGAGAAAACGTTTTTAAGTTGTTGTACGGATTCAGAGTCTCTCGAAGCATCAAGTGTCACTGGATCATCGATCCATACTATAGGCTGATTAACCGACTAGAGTAGTTGACATTCAAAATTATTAAAACATTAAAGTTACAATCAAAATAAGCGAAAGACTTAGCTAAGTTGACATTAAGTTTTACATCTTTAAGAAAAGGGAGATGTAATGTGATTCAATTAATATTAACTATTACTAATGACGGGGCCACGTGTATATAAACTAATGTATTGATATTAAAGTCTCTTTACAAACCTTACTACAGTAGGAACTGTAGAGGACATTCAGTGATGCACGATGGAGGTGTGAGAGGAGGGTTGGCGAAACGTCTTCCCATCATACCCAGCGCGTTTTGACGTACAATTACGTCATTTGTTTCGCTGCTAGTATTACGTAATTTGACTAAAAATTCGTAAGGCTGTGCGGAGGAGAGTGTTTCAAAAAATACCAAAGAAAGGATTTGTTTGCTTCAATATGCACTTTGTTTTTCTTGTATTGCAGACTGTTTACTGTGAGTATAATACTCGGCAGACATCCCGCCCTGAGCAGCTAGCATGGTAAGTAGAGTAGGTACCATAATCTACTATGCAGGGGATGGTTTTATCAAACTCTCGACTACTTTCTAATTACAGTACGTTATTAGTAGTTAAACAGGTTAAATTTAAAATTCACGACTGTGATGGGTTAACACACTCACTATAGGTAACTTTAAGTACTTTTTTAATACTCTCGATCCAGTACAAACTGTACGACTGTGCTATAATATACTATATGCTGTACTGTGCAGTACTACAATAGAGAGGTTCAGATTTGACTTCCACTACCGCTACCACAACCTCTCAGTGCCTTAGTACGTATTTGATTGGTTCAGGGATGGATCCAGCATGTTCTGGTAGAGAGGGGGGGGGGGGGTGCTCTGCCGCTCTGGTGCCGAGTTGTGTCGGTCATGTGTTCCGCCCGCCCATCAACATACTGTATTTGAATTTGAATTGTTGTTCACAGTTCGCTTATCATCATGTCATTTGCCCCCACTGGCCAGGCTAAAGGGGTGCACCCCACACACACACACACACAGTAAATACATCCCTGGATTGGTTAATCGGATATATCGAGCGCATCTGATTGGCTAGTGGTTACCTTAATGGTAGCGGACGTCAGATCTGAACCTCACCACTTTACTGTACAATACGGTACTGTACTGTATTTTACTGTACTCTGTATTGTATTGTATTGTATTGTACTGTATTGAACTATGTTTTACATCACTGTACTACAGATCTATACTGTAGTATGTTGTACTATTGTTTACTGCATTGTGCCGTTGCTCTATGTTGTACTACTTTGCTATACTATACTGCACAATACGCTTCAGTACTATATTATTTCTACATATGCTATATGTAGGTGTGGAAATGGCGCTCTGATATGTTATTGGCAATATCAATACATGATGATTGGACCTGACAAGGATGTTGATACATATCTTTTAACTCGGAAAATTGTATATGTGGTCTATAGTGTATTTATTTTGGGATATTTGAGATTTGCCTGCTGTTTTAATAAGACCATTTCCAGGTCAAGTAACCGCCTGCCATACTGCACAAAAGAGTGAATGTGGCAACTGGCAAGTGCCTATAAACTCTGTACCATCATTCATAATTCTGTGTTTTGTCCAAAATATTTTTAACTTCCTTAACATTTGTTACTCGTGTCCTTGAAGATGATGTTTACCTGGTGCCTGAGATTGACGGCATCAGAATTCTGAGTAACGAGAAACACGAATTCCTTCAGAAAGTTCCAAGTAAGTTGAAATTATTGTAATGGACGAATTTGTTTAGAACGTAAATTATACGCAACTTTGATAACTATAGTTTTAGTTTACGGAGTAAAGAATAGAATAATGAGGCACTAGAATTATGTATAGGACTTATTCATGTAGATAATCCCAATATTCTATGCTTCCATACATCGAAACAATAGTAGATTTTGGTAAAAAAAAATAGATACGAATTTGGTACATGTGTGAACGTGTCTCTTCGTTGCATTGCATTACTGTCGGTGTAGTAGTTGTTGGCTGTAGTTTTTGTTGCAGTTCATTTAGTTATAGTTATTAGTACTGTTGTTGGTGAAATTGTAATAATTGTAGTAATTGCTGATGTTGCTTAATTAGTGATATCGAATAATGATTGGCTAACTATAAGGGCTTCCTCACAGGGACATACTCACCAATACACCCTTTCGATAATTACGTCATTTGGCCTGGGAGCCTCGCTCTCATGAATCGTGAGCCAATCACCTTGCGTAATTTACTAATGAGAGCGAGGCTCCAAGACCAAAAAGTATATGTGACGTAATTATCGAAAGGGTGTATTAGATATGGATTAGCCGCGAGGTGAAAATCTGGATAGAACGTCAGACTGATGCATAGTTTGGCTAGTGACAAACTGGTCACTTCTCAATAAAACTGCAGTACTCTCAGGACGAAAGGATATATCACAGCTCGGTTTGCATAAAAAATAGTTCAGATCGAAAAAGGCTTTATCAAATAATTGCCAAAATATTGACAAAATCGTGTAAAACACAGTATGAAATCTGTCGTTTACAGGTGTTGTTGAGAACGTATTTAAGATCGGTTCAGTTGAATCTGGGGCCATGTTGTATGAAGCTATGAAAGAATTTGAGGTGAGTGTGGAAGAGATATATGTTATGGACTGAGGGAGAGGTCCAGACTGGAGGATTGTAGTCGAGGTTTTCCTTTGTATATGTATCGAGCCGTAGGCGACGTTTAGTATTCTGAAAATTAATGAGCAAAACATTTTTTTATACACCCTGTATATTAAAGAGCGAAGAGAAAGAGTCTTGGACTAAGCTGATCCAAGCCGAAGTCAATGTTATCTACAAGGCGGAAGTCTGAGATTGGTAGCGTTTTAAACTTTATTTTTAGCATTACTCTTACGTACATTATGTTTTGTTTAGAAAAAGAGTGCCAAAGCTGATGAATATATTCGACTAATAAAAACCAAATTATCAGAAGCTGTCAAACAGTGTATCCAAGCTGCAGGATCGGAATTTGAGCAAACATTACAGAGAGGTTTATTAAGAGTAAGTCTATAGTGTTATGCTTATCATGGTCCATAGTCTAAACATTTTTAATGGTCTGCACTCTGCAGTTTAAATGAGGTTATGCGACAACCAAGGTTATCAACTACAATCATGGCCAATTGTTGTGGAACAACAGGCGCAATCTCCGAGTGTCTGTCTTCCAACTTAAAAAGCCACGATTGTAGATTAACCATGCTCCGATACCTAACCACGTCACGTGATCGAGAGGTATGTAATATGAGAGTGGTAGGGCGTTTGGCACCAGTTACCGTTGGGTAAGCAAACATTTTGAGGCAAACAAATTTTGATTCGTACTACATTTTCTACCAATTATTTTAATTGATGTGGAGGTATTAGCTCTTTAGAGGTGGTAATCTGCTCAAAATTCTACTTGGATCTTTACCAACCTGCTAACCAGGGTCATATTTCACTTGGTTACTCGTTTACCTGAATCCATGTAACAGTAGTCGTTCCAGGTCGCCCCTCGGTCAACTCGGGTAACACCTAAGTAAGGTGTTAACTGTTGTGATTAATTAATGTATAGGTGGAGTAAGGTGTTAACTGTTGTGATTAATTAATGTATAGGTGGAGTAAGGTGTTAACTGTTGTGATTAATTAATGTATAGGTGGAGTAAGGTGTTAACTGTTGTGATTAAATGTATAGCCATGTCATTAACCTGCGACGCAGGCGCTTGCGGATGAAGAGCTAGGCCGGAGTTCGGCTCGCCTCTTCCAACCCGCAAGCGCCTGCCTTGAAGGCTACCGTTACCGTGAAACTGCTGAAAAAGTCATGAATTCATGGAAATATACATGCAAGTCACTGCCAAACACAAGACCTTACCAAGAACTGATAAAGAAATTTATACGTATTTTAGGCGGCGTCCTTTGGGAAGAGTTTTGTGACAGAGCTGGAGCCTCATAAGAAATTTGTGGAAATGTGTCAAATATTGAGAGTTCTAAACGCTGTCAGGGATTACACTGTGGGAGTGCCATTAACCTTAGTACAGTATCCTTTGATCATTATGAGCTTTTATTCCACCAAGATCAACACATATGTAATGTGTACGTAGTAATCAACGTGATTATAATGATAATACGTTTAATTCATAATTATTCAATTGCATGAAAATCACTATCCACCTCCCGAATATATGCTTATCAATTATATAGCGCAGCTCACTCCTTAAAGTGATAAAACTGACGTCGCCTCGCCCTTTATGCCTTTGTCAGGTCAGAGTTTATTAGAATATTAATCATTGCCCCATTGCAACAATTATTATGACAACGGGACAAAAAGCGATTTCAGTGACAAAGACGATATCACTGACATGTCGTTTTTATGTCACCCTGTTATGGCCCTAATAGTGATATCAATTCAATACGCATGTGAACTTTAAGATCATTCTTTCTCTCTAAATTTATATTTTTTCGCCTTAATCTATATAAGATTGGAGAAAATGTCCATGACTGTGCTCATTGACAGGTAAGAATGACAAATCAAATCAGTCTTGCTTCAAAATGCAGTATGCTCTTCCTTCCATCAATGAGAGGCATGCAAGTACTTAGGTTGTTTCAGTCAATCATGACTAGCTGTAAATAGACTATTGTTAAGTTTCGATGGGATTCGCTCGTGCAACAGCGTTCGCTAAGCACAGCACCTACCAGATCAAACTGGATCATCCAGTTTCATTTTCTATCTTGCCTAACATATTTTGTAATTTGCCTAATCATCTTGCCTAACATATTTTGCTGCAGTAATTACTTATTTTTCCAACTTATTTTGTTTGATCAGATTGATTCTACGACGTCAGTATTGTTTGGCAATTCGTATCAGTAATTATTTAAAAATTCCCAAGACTGATGGTGAAAGTAGAATTCTGGCCCACTGGGCATGTTATAAGGTAAATATCGTACCTAGCTTGCACTCATCAAGATTTGGAATGTGAGGAGTATATTTGTAAAAGCATGAATAATTCATGAGAAAATTGAAAAGAAATCAATGTTCAATACTGACTCGTCCCCAGTCGTCTCTTTACAGGTGGACATTATAGTGTTGCACTTGCCGCCGCGCGCGTGGCAGTGAGCTCTATATATATCTGGAGTATCTCACATTTAAAAGTCTAAAGCATAGTGTATCATTCTTTACTGTTTACAACATTTAAAGTTGTCTTGTATTTAGACGACTGGGGACGAGTCAGTGTTCAATAAACAGCATGAGCGGCCGTGTTGTATCAGATATACAAACACCAGCTGAAAACGAGTGCTTGTATACTGTATCTCTGACACAATACCATCCTCGTTCCCAGGGCTTCTCGGCTGCATACGGACACGAATACTGCATATAATTTACGCAAGGATGTTTATAGTCGTATTTCTCAAGTAGGTTCCTGGTTGAGAGAGTTTCAACTACCTGAAAAATATAAGCAAAACTGCGTCGTTTCGAGCGAAGGCCCTTCGTCATGAAGTTAGTAGCTACTAAGTTGGTGGTTGGAATTTAGTCATCGCTACTCGCGTCGCTCGAGACGTCGAAGTTCTGGTTTTATTTTCAGGTAGTTGTATTTCTCTCAATCCGCAGCTGCCTTGTTGTCGTCGCTACCTGTACTGGCACAGACCAAATGTATTTTACTATTCAGAATATTGAGGGAAAGTTTTGTAATTTTTGAGAATTCTGTATGTGTGGATACAACAAGATTGATTTCTTTTGAATTCTCTTCATGAATTATTAATAAGTTTTACGAATATTATACATAATATAGAGGCGGTTGAAAATAAGCATCCCCACATATTGTCAATGATTGAGTATTGTTCACTCAATATGTAGTATTTCGCAAAATGGAGGCAATTTACTCTCACACCAAGGGACCTCGGGATGAAAGGAGCCGCCAATATTGAGCAATTCCCCTCTCAAATATTGAGCAGTTCCCCTCGCACCAAAGGATCCGCGAAATCTCTGCAGTAAATACGAAGCTAAAATAAGCATGTTTGTGATTGGCTTCATTAAACAAATCTGATCAGAGTTCGTGACGCATTCTTTAGAAAATATATTCAATATTTTTATTGTGTTTTATTGTTATGATCAACCAATCACGGAACCTTTCTTATAGCTTCGTGCTGATGCAAGATCTCGTCTGCTGCCACGGGCAACCCAGACTTTAGTTGTAGCTCCTGTTCAAAGTTATTTTAAATTTTATCCTTCATACCAATCAGGTGCAACAAACGAATAAAGATGACGAGGATATAGCTCAAGCCATTGCAGCTAAACTTGGAGACACACCTGGCATTTCCTACACTGAAATTGCATCGAAAGCCTTGGATTGTGGCCGAACTCAACTTACCATCAGGGTGCGTAATATATTAAAGATACTAAAATCCTTAAATCCTTTGTTCTGTTCTTCATCTGAGGCCTTTATCAATCATTGTTTCAACTGAGTTAGTAGAAGAAAGTTATAGTACAGTTAATACCTGTTTAATTAATGTTTTTATGCATCCAGTTCAAGTCAACTTTGATTCAAGAAGCAATATCTTTAAGAAGCAATATCTTACTGCGTAAAATATCAAATTTTGTTAATTTATGTTTCTTCTACTACGATAGCTTTTAGATTATGAATCAAAAGCAGCAGATCAAGTTCCATTGTTGATTGAGATGAAGAAAAATCAACTTGCTTTGGAGAAAGCAATTGAAAGTGGAGATACAGATTTAGGTGGAAATTTATGTTCAGTTACATACATTTTTTCTGAGGACTATATAGTATAAACTATAAGTGTAATTGGTATGACGATTTTAGGTTTTGCTGTAGGTAATTATTGACGAATGTTTTAATGTGGTGGTGCCCTTCTCCATTATTGTCAGGCTGAAGATTGGATCTGGGACCAATTCTTAACATAACCCGAATCCTAATACTATGCCTATTTTGCTGTAGTTTATATGGTCGTAATGGATCTTAAAGAAAAACAACCTTTGAAGGAATTTTTAATGACTTTACGACATTTCCCAATTGCTCTCAGTCTTTTTGTTAAGGTAATAAGAACTTTGTAATAACTAATATGCCGATATTAGAAGCTAGGTTTTCTTGAGAAACCCACAGTAGGAAATTAATTTACAGTGGGAAATCACGAAACCCATAATTGTCATAACGACCCCATAAAAAGAGTCAAATCTCTGGTGTCCAGAATGACTCTTTTGGGCTCGTTTTGACTCTTTTCAATTTACAGTCCCTTGTTTTTACATGTAAAATTACAAGGTACACCTACATTTACAAGTAAAAATGCCAAACGCAAGGATCCAGTACAAGTAGCATTCTACAAAAGAATGTGTTGGTCAAAACAACTGAGACATTACAAGAATCGATTATTGCAAGTTATGTTGCATCTTTGATTATGTTTCAAAATTGTGAGAACGACGCATCAGTGTCAACCCAGACCTAGGGCCTTCTATTTATATTACAGCGCTTTTTTACGTGGGAAGACTGGAACCTAGGCAATTTAGGGCGGGGCGAAGGAATTGCCACCTGAGACGTCATTGAAGTCGATTAACCTGAAAATCAAGTGCCGCCTGCCGAGTAAAGGCCCTTGGTCTAAGTAGGCATAGGGCGTAAAAAAAATGCCTGTGGTTCCGGTTCCCGACCGACCCTATTTTTTTCTGCCGACCCTATTATTTTTTCAACGCGATTGACCGTGCGACCTTATTTTCTCCAGGTGGTTGCGGGCTGCTCATACAGCGTGCCAAAAATTATGGCGTCTGTTGTCACACTAATTATTGAACCAAATTGCCTAAATTCGTCCATAGGAAATACGCATCTCTAGTTAATATTGATGTCGGGACTCTACTGCAAATCGCCCATGAGCAAAAAACCGCCAAAACCATGAAAAAATTAAAAAAAAAATTATTTCCGACCTACCGACCCTAATTTTTTCACGATATGAAACCGAAAGTACAGGTATTTTTTTTTACGCCTAGTGTATAATACTGCGTTATATCAACCTGCATGTGTACTATGTTGTAGGAGGCAAGTGTCGCTTGCAGAGTGATGTTATTTAAAACTATTGAAAGAAAAATTGTGAACAAGGTTGCCGTTTCACTCCACAAACGTGTTAATAACGTACCCAAGAGGAAACACAAAATGAACGAAAATGAAAAATACTGGCGCAATAACACGTTCCATTTTAATTCCGTATAATTATGTACATTCTGTATCATTCTCGTCCTCTAGCCATTTGCACCCGGTCACTCGTTGAAAATTAGGCTCTGGGTCAGACGATTAAAGGGAGAGATCTGATTGGCTTCTCAGAGAACTGCTATTTCGCAGAAGTTGAGCAGTTTTCGCTAGCCAAAATTATTCTATCAACATATGTCAACATAAATACTTCGTTTCTTCGTAATACTTCACTGTGAAAATGGTAACGGGTGCCAAAACGTCCCAATTCAAGAGCATGCGCTTTAGAAACTACTACACTCTAAAAACACTCTGGTTAAATCCAACCAGGAATTGGGTTAATAATCCACCCAACACATTCTGGTTAAATTTAACCCATTTCCTGGTTAAAAATGATCAATTCAACAAAAATTTGGTACACTTTTTTGGACGTTTAACCAGGAAAATGGTTAATTTTTTTTAACCAGACTTGTGTAGGTGGATTTTTAACCCCGTACTGGTTGAATTAACCCAAATTTAACCAGAGTGTTTTTAGAGTGTAGCTGCAAGTTTTCTTGCACTACCGGTTCCGTGTGTCACAGGACCATAAGACAGGACCTAGGCAGGACGCCTAGAAAATTGCTTTGAAAATTGCATAAAAATTATTGGTGTAACATGGGCTTGCAATAGCATGCAACTAACACAAAATTTTCAACTCTTATTTAGTATTGTAAAGAACAAGATCTTAAGACATTGGAAAATTTGTACAAGATCGATGATCAATTTCTTAATCTGGGATTGCTTCACTTGCATGACAGCTGTACTAAAACTGTAAGTCGAGTGATTGTAGGAAACAGTGACCCCTCTCATTGCACCTTTTGCGAGAGACATTAAATTTTGCATCGTTCTTGCTATATAACATTCTCCCGTGTTCTGCTTACTCAACATGTGTAATACTCTCTTGTTATTTAGACATTTGATGACAGGACTGCATGCTTGAAAGAATCACTGAAATATTTTAACCAAGGCAACCTTTTATTCCCGAAACAGGTTCGTGTTTTCACATTTTTTCATGTACCTGTTTTTCACGTACGGCTTTTTCATGTACAGCGTTTTCATGTATAGCGTTTTCATTTCGTGTCTATGGAACATTTTGTTGTTAAACCTGTTTTACAGCATTGATCTGAAAGTGTACACCCTATTCACATAATTTGTTTGGTTGAGGGTATAAAGAAGCGATGTCGAATCCAACCTGTCTCATTAAGAACATTGGGGGTAAAATTCAGTTTCATTTGATCAACATGGCGGCCAAAAATGAAATGCTAATATCAGGGAGGGTGTCAGCCAAAATGTTCAGATTCTTTTTAAGGTTGGATTAGACGTAACTTCTTAACTTTAACCAAGCGTTTTAACTAATTGTGTGTATAACATAAATATAGTTTTTAATTAACAGCCCTTTAAGATGATATTGAGGTCAGCAATATAATTTTTCAACACTTTCTAACTCAAGGAGTTTATAATTGCATCAACTCAAAAGTTATAATTGCATCAACTCAAAAGAACACTCGAAGATGTATATCCTTAATTTTATAAGTTTGGCGTGAAAACGATCTATCAATCCTCCATTTAGTGGGGACAAAGCGAATTCTGTTATATCTATTATATGTTTCAATGAGTGAGGCATGCACCCAAAATGATTATCAGGGTAAAAAACATTGATTTCGAATAAGCTTAAACTTTTGTTCAGGTCACTCTTGAAAAATGCTCTTGTTATTACACAAGATTATTCTCCCATTTTTTCTCTTGCAGATCGTGGAAGAACAAATCAAACTATTAGAAAGACAGAAACTATTTGAAGAACAGTTAAGGTTGCCAGGGCTATCTGGATTATCAGTTAGTGATACCATTTTTCAGGTGTGGTTTTGGTAAATTATGTTGCAATAATATATTGAAATTGAATTGGAATAAAAAGGGCAGAAATCAACTAGACATCTTGCAATATATGCGTTTTTATTATTTACAACATTGTTTCGTGATTCACTTCCTTTATAGTGTGTTTATAAAGGTGCTTTCAAAGAGGCTGAACAACTGAGGAAAGAATTTAAAGTTCCAGATAAAAGGTGCGTACCAAAACGTTCACTGGGGAATATCTGATACTAATTAATAATTAATGTTCCTCTTCATTTTATTGTCCATGATCAAAATCCGTACAACAGGCTCCGTAATAAAAAGGTCATATTTATAAGTATTTGTTCTGTGGGGCAAAGATTTGGTGATGGTTGTCGGTATTACAGAGGTCCGTTTTAAAAAGTTTATTTTAAAAGCAACTGGGGACGGTTGTACGAAGGCCGGATAGCGCTATCCACCGGATAGTGATTTTTGAAGCTTTGTTAAATCAGTCGTTGATTGGTATAACTCGTATTAAAGTTTAGTATTTATAAGTTAAATGTTTTTTACACTTCTTGTGTCGTCTATATCGTTTCACAGTTTTTCAAGCATTTTACAAATGTTGAAAAAACCACTATCCGGTGGAATTCTACTCTTCAAAAGTAAAGAATCTTAAATCGACCAAACCGAAGAGATGGTGGAAGGAGGTGAAGCAGATTGCTGGTATGGTACCTACAACCGGCTCCGATGACCTATGTAGTCAACTTCATTTAGACGATATCGAAAATATGCAACGTCCTGACATTGCGAATTTAATTAATAACGCCTTTTTGGAGCCCATGAACTCCTTCAATCCACTGTCAACCCTTCCCCCCTTTGATAATTATTCCTCTTTTCAAGTAAACGAGCTGGAAGTCTTTCATTTATTGAAAGCAATTAATCGTGGAAAGGCGTCAGGTCCTGACGAAATCCCCAATTGGGCTCTTAAGGAATATGCTGAAATCCTCGCACAGCCAGTATGCGCTGTGCTAAACAGCAGCTATGCCGAACAACAACTACCTAAATCTTGGAAGCTTGCCAACATTGTGCCCCTCATAAAAACTAAGCCCGTTAGCGACATTTGTAAGCAGTTACGACCAATTTCACTTACTGCCGCTATTTCGAAAATCGCTGAGGACTGTGTTGTTAAAAAATACATTGCTCCAGCTATCATGAGTATAATCGATCCAAGTCAATATGGAGTAATACCAAGAAGTTCAACTACTCTCGCTGTTATATCTATGATCCATGAATGGTCGCAAGCTACTGATGGCACTGGCTCTGCTGTCAGAGTCATCCTGTTCGATTATAGAAAAGCATTCGACCTTATCGATCATGCTTTACTGGCTGATAAAATTTCCAATTTAGCTATTCCACGTGCGGTTGCTCGCTTGGCAATCGATTTTTTGATGAATCGAAAGCAGAGAGTGAAATTATCCAATGACTGTTATTCGGAGTGGGGTGATGTACTTTCCGGTATCCCTCAAGGTACAAAATTAGGGCCCTGGCTATTTTGTTTAATGATAAACGATCTTGATATTTGTGATATATCGAGGTGGAAGTTTGTTGATGACACAACAGTTGCTGAAGTAGTTAGTAAGGACACAGAGAGCCGTGTTCAAGTCGCAGTTGATGTTGTGGAAGATTGGTCGAAGGCAAATGGGCTATCTCTTAACGCTGAGAAATGTAAAGAACTGAGAATCGATTTTAAAAAAATTAAACAACCTTTTGATCCTGTACTGGTGGGTGGAGAAGCATTGCCTATAGTTGAGAGTGCAAAAATATTGGGTCTTGTTATGACAGGCACACTTCAGTGGAAAGATAACATCAGAGAGAGTATAAAGAAAGCTAATAAACGCCTCTATTTTATAGTATTATTGAAACGGGCAGGCGTAAATGTCAATGATGTTTTGAACTTTTATTGTACAGTGATCAGGCCTGTGCTCGAGTATTGTGCGCAAGCCTTCCATCATTCCATCCCAAAGTATTTGGCAGACGAACTTGAGACTGTCCAGAAACGTGTGCTAAAAATTTTATCTCCTGAAATGACATATTGTGAGGCCCTTGAGTATTTTAGACTGCCTACTCTATTTCAAAGAAGAGAGGACATGTGTGACAAACTCTTTACGAGTATCATCAAGGATCCAATGCATAAACTTCATCATCTGCTGCCCCCGAAGAACGAGACTGATTATTCTTTCAGGACGAATCGGTATTTTAATATGTACGTTACACGCACGAACCGCTTTTATAACTCTTTTATCCCTGCTATGTGTAGGAAGTTTGGAGGATAGATTTTATGCTTATTTTAATCGAATTTTGATCGTGGGTGGGTTTTATAATATTGTATTAATAATATTTTATATGTAGTGCATGTGATAATATGTAATCCACGCAATTCAGCTTCTGGCTGCAATGTGGTTTCAATTTAATAATAATAATAATAATAATAATAGCGCTATCTGCCTTCGTACAACGGCCCTGTATGTTAATTTTGTCCAAACAGAGGAAACTGTCCGTTATAGGGAGGTAACCGTATTAGAGAGATATCCTAATCCGTATTAGAGAGGTATTCGCATTAGAACGATGTTCATGTTCAAGAGATATCCGTATTACAGGGGTGTCTGTAATAGACAGGTGTCCGTTTAAAGAGATATCCGCGTATTCGAGAGATGTCCTGTAGTATCGGAGAGATATCGCTATTAGAGAGACGTCCGTGTTAAGCAGGTGTCCATACTATTGGAGATATATCCGTATTCGAGGGATATACATATTACATAGACGTCTGCAGTATTACAGAGATGTCCGTAGTATTAAAGAGATGTCCGTAGTATTAACGAGATGTCCGTATTAGAGAGATGTTCGTATTAGAGAGATGTTCGTGTTAGAAACATGTTCGTATTAGAGAGATGCCCGTATCAAAAAGATGTTCGTGTTAGTGAAATGTTCGTATTAGAGACATGTCCGTATTAGAGAGATGCTGTATAAGAGAGATGTCCGTATTAAGCCGGTTTTCCACTCCGCCCGTATCGTAGCGAAACGTACTGGTGAGCATGCGCAGATTGAAAAGAGGTTTATAAATCCACGTACTTCCGGGTGTATTCGCGTATCAAAATAAAAACTTCGTCGCAAGTCAACTTTTTGGCGTACTACGGAAGTACTAACCAATCGACATTCACGAAATTTTGAAATTTAAAAACGTTTTTGATACGTTTCGGTACGGTACGCTTGAAGTGTAAAACCGGCTTTAGAAAGATGCCCGTATCAGAGAGATGTCCGTATTAGAGAGATATCCGTATTGGAGAGATGCCCGTATCAGAGAGATGTCTGTATTAGAGAGATATTCGTATTGGAGAGATGCCCGTATCAGAGAGATGTCTGTATTAGAGAGATATTCGTATTGGAGAGATGCCCGTATCAGAGAGATGTCCGTATTAGAGAGATATTCGTATTGGAGAGATGCCCGTATCAGAGAGATGTCTGTATTAGAGAG